TAAACATGCATACGCATACACACACATACACACATATATATTTATAACGATAGTTGTCTTAGATTTAAGAATATATGTTCTATCTATTTATTTTAATATATATATATATATGTTTTATGTATGTATGTATACGAGGTTGTGTATATATGTTTTTTATGTATCTATCTATCTATCTTTTTATATATACATATGTATATAAGTTTATGTATGTATGTATGTATGTTTGTATTTATTTGTATATTCGTTGATATTTCTATATTGCACACGTATATATAGATGTAATATATATGTATATGTATGTATATACATATACATACATATATATATATATATATATATATACATTTATATGTATGTATGATTGTATGATTGTTTTGAGATATTTTTGAAGATCTACATATAGCTATATAGATTGTATTTTAAGTTGCATGTATTATGAATAAATGCATATATATATAAATATATATTCAAATGTATGTATATTCATTTATAATTGGATAAATATATATATACATATATTTATATATACACATACACATGTATTGTATGTTACAAATGCAACACGTATATATATATATATATATACATAAACACAAATGTATTGTATGTTACAACTGCAATATATATTTATACATATTTATATATATATATAAATTGATATATTGATTTGTATATAATTATACATAGACACACGCATATATATAGATATATAGATATTTAGATATATATATATATATGCGTACACATATACTTGTAAAAATAGTCATTCATGTTCATATTCATGTTTATGTTTATGTTTGAAATTATTTCTCCTTACATGCAAATAATCACACATGATTATTCATGCCGATACAGATGCTTTTTTAGTGCTGCTTCTTTCGGATTGTCTCTTCTAGTCTGAAGGTTGTTTCTATATAAAGTTTCTTTGTTGCTGAGTTTTATACTTTGTAGCATCGTATGTACTCTATAATTATGCCACATTAGAGTGCGGTATATTTATTTGCGTGTCGTAAAGGTTACTAGTCGAAATGAGTAGGAATATTCATAGCGTGAAGACGACATACCTTTTTTACGAACGGTTTGTGCCTGTTCATACGTACAGGCGAAGTTTGTATACTCAACTCGATCTCTGGATCTCTATTACTCATCTCCTTGCCCATGATTTATTAACCGTTCCGTTCAGATAATAAAGATGTACAGTTTGCGAAATTCGGGCGTGGTTGGTAAGCTGCTGAGCGTGACTTCCACCACTTTGGGACCACGTACAACTGCTTCCGCCGTGATCCCACTATCCAACGCTGTTTCCGCCGCGCCATTGTCGAAACATGAGTTCAACGGAAGCGGGAAAATGCGCATGACATCCACGACACTTGGTATGTCAGCTGTCTATGCTGTTATATGTACCCAGAAATACCTTTCAAACTTCTTGGGGTCGTAAGGCCTCAGGACTGGGGTTAGGTGATACTAAGGCGATAGCTCAAGGGGAGCATGATATATGCAACAAACAAAAAATGCGCCTTCTTTATTTTTTTTTGACAAGCTATGGACGTCTTAGACTCACATGTTGATTCGGTTCTGTAACAACGTGCTGCAGGCAAGACCAGTGTCAGATATCTTCACAATGATGTAGTAGCTCCTGATTTCTCGGCATATAAAAGAGACGAAAAGACTGCGGGCGACCCATCCCGTCGCGCCTTTACTTACTTGTTCGCTGGATCAGCTACCATGCTTGGTGCCGCTTCAGTTAAAAACGGTCTTATGGACTTCTTGGCCTCATGGAGTGCCTCAGCCGATGTTCTGGCGTTAGCCAAGATCGAAGTCGACCTTACTGCCATCCCCGAAGGAAAGAACTTGGTATGTATCCCACATCTATACTATACTACAAATGCACGTCTGTGGTATTCATGTGTATGTATATACCTGCATACTGCAATGCATACAATCGAACTCAGCGCGCTCGCATCATTTCTAAGCTCTGTATGAGAGTCGCGCTTTAAATCGGCGATGTTTCGTCAATACTCTTATGAGATACTCGAGTCTAATTTCAATTCGATATTTGAAACACACTCAGGCTCTTAAGTGGCGAGGAAAGCCTCTTGTTATCCGTCACAGAACCGCCGCTGAGATCGAGGAAGCTAATAGTGTCGATGTGCCCTCCCTTCGTGATCCCGAAACTGACGCTGACCGTGCTAGTGTTCCTGAGTACTTAGTTATGATTGGTAAGTTAGGTGTAGTCTGCAATTTAAACACGCGGAATATATCTGAGCTTGTTCTAACATATAAGCAGTTAAAAAGGCGCATGGCTGTTTGCATATATGAAGCTGTACCATACATGGGTGCACATTTTGTCATTTAGATCATGAGATTAAGCTTGTATACCATTATTTGCGAATATCCGACATTGTGTCTACACACATGTCTTTGTGATATGTGACCCGCGTATCACATGTATTCATATTTATATCTATATATATATATATATACGTTTAGGTCTTTTGTTTATATATATATATATATTTATACGTTTATATTTATATTTGTATACGTATATATAGGGATGTGTATGTGTATGTATGTATGCATTTTAGTTGTTAGAAGTTTTAGCCACGAAGAGTTTGTTCACGAGTAGGTTTATAACATACATTGGCTTATACAGTCGGTGATTGAACGCGTTCAGATTGTTATCTCAAGCTGCCTCTTCACCTCGTTATCTTTTTTGCGCGACAACGTTAATATACATCTAACTTGCATAGAATTCACTGACGGTGTCATGTAGACAAGTATAGTCGTGTTTGCTGTATCTTTTCTATTTGTTCTATGTAGCGTAGTTAGGAACAATACAATCATGACAAGCACAAAATATATCCATTGATTGGCCAATCACAATTTTCTTTGTGTGTCTGCAGGTGTATGCACGCATCTAGGTTGCATCCCCGTAGGCGAAGCTGGAGACTATGGAGGTTGGTTCTGCCCTTGCCACGGATCTCACTACGATATTTCGGGACGTATTAGAAAGGGACCCGCTCCCCTTAACATGGAAGTGCCCCCATATGAGTTCATTGAGGACGGTGCCAAGGTTGTTGTCGGTTAAATTCAATCTTAAGACTTTCTAGGGTTCGAAGGCAATTAAATCTTTCCTGTAGATCAAAAGATAAAGAAATAGATGTTATAATCGAGCTGTCTTCCTTTCTATTGAATTGTCGATGAGATATTCGGATTTCGTAGATATTTCTATCCCCTGTATGTTTGGCTGCCACCTGTGATATAAATCTCGTAGCATCGCGAAAAAGTTATGAATGGTGGGCTGAAGCCCCCTGAAGGATTTGCTTCTTCGTGTGGCAGAATCAAGACTAAATTATCCTACTAGCGTTGGATTGTACTCAAACGAACGCATATGTATATCGGAGTTGTTTGTCTGCGCCGTTAGACGATGTTTAGCTATGGTGTCATGCAAGCATAATTCAAGTCCAAAATCAGGGCAATACGTTAAGCTTTATTTGTTGGGGCTTGGGTGGGATTACTGGCGTGTGTAGCGTCATGCGCGGCTGTGAGAATAGCCTGTGCGCCCTTCTGCAGCAACGCGTGGGCGAGATCCACGCCTAACTGTTCAGCACCCTTTGAATCAGTCACTTCCGCGCTTAGAGTTTCAATTATACACTCACTACCATCGAGCGAGAACACAGCGCCAGATACGTTGAGTGTGGACGTCGCTTCGTCGTACTTGCTTTCCGTGCCCAAAGGTGCACTGCAGCCGCCTTCGAGCTTGCGCATGAAACTGTGATACGAAGCGAGGTACAATGTGAGCAAATAGAGGAAGAGTTACTGATACAAATACAAGTCTCTTATTACTCGTGCTGCGAAAATCGAGAATATAGTAAGCATATTTCCAATGTTTTCTGCGCATCCTTTTTACACCGCAAGAGATGGCGAATGTACCGCCCCTTGCCACAAGTATCAATGGCCAACAGACAACACATGATCGGAAAATGAGCCAGTAAAGGTAGGGTCACCGCTGTGTAGACAAGACAGCAAGAGAATGCGCTTATTGCCGTACCTGCGCTCTGCTTGGCATACGAGGGCTGTACTGGCGCAGTTAATCGGTCGTAGCAATTCTGCAGATGTGTGTGAAAGGGAGAAGGTTTGAGCCTGTACACATGTCTTAGCATATATGCAATACTGACCACATATCCATAAAGTGAGCGATAAGGTAAAAGAAATGCAAGTTATAAGAATATGATACCTTTCGTAGCAGCGTCATCTGAACGACATTCGACAGCCATCGCGCCTTGGCCTACCGCATACAAACACGACTCAGACGTCAGCATCTCTGACACACGCTCCTGCCAACCCAAACGATCTATGCCTGCTCGAGCGAGTACTATTGCATCATACACAGGTGCCCCTTCCTCAGGTTCGTCTAATTTCCGCAGTCTTGTGTTCAGGTTACCTCGGATGTCCTGTGCCGAGATCAGATTGTGAACACGTTTACATCAGTCATTTAATTCCGAGCTCTTGACCTCTTGACCTCTGGTGGTATATATATACATATATATATATATATATACATACATACATACATACATATGTACATACATACATACATACATATATATCTATAATATATACATACATACATACATACATACATACATAATATATATATATATATGGATATGTACACATATAAATGTGTATACGTACATATATACACGCATAAATATATACAAATATACATACATGCACATACACATACATATATATACATACATACACATGCATACATACTATAATACAACAAAAAATAAAGATATATATATATATATATATATATAGTGTGGTTGCGCACGAATCCAATAACACTCTGTTAATGATCCTTCAGCAGCATGTAGAATGGATTGTACTGAAGCTGAGCACGCTATAGTCACGTTGAAGGTGTTGTATAGGATAAACTAACATACGGAAAGCATCACGATATTGCTTCGAATAATTACCTTGAAAGTTAAATGAGGATGTGCTCGCTTTAACTGCGCGATCCGTCTAAGTGAAGAGGTACCCACAACCGCGTCCTGTGGCAAACGAGCCAGCGTAAGCTTAGCAGCATGGTTCTGCTGGTTCATAACCACACAGTCATAGGCATTATCACGTGCACAGAAAGCGCCGACCTCCATGCCCTCTGGAAGAGTTGTCGGAAGATCTGTGATAACAGGATGCGAAAAACAAATACCGAAAACAGTCAGTATTGACATATGTGACAAGACGCAACGCTTACTTCGCAGCTGATCAAATTTCGTATACAAAATAAAAGTGCACAAACGC